CCGTTCCAATCCCTCTCAAATCCCGTGATGCAGAGACAGCAGATGGTCTCTCAGACAAATTGTTCCTAAGTTATTTAAAGACTCACATTTCTTGAGCACAGAATAGCCCGCACAATTTACAGTGAACATAAACTGATGGTCTTGCCAACACTTAAATGATTTCATCCAAGCAATGGGATAGCCCCACTGAGAAAAAAACCCCCTAATTATTAATGAAAATTATTGCATACACTTTTACAGTAGCAAAAGTGGTAGAGCAACAATCTTATTTTATGAGCCAATAAAGATGTCAAAACACACATTTAACTTACCGGTTGATCCACCTGCTATCCCATACTACAAAGATCTTTGAACATGTCATCGACCATAGAATTCAAGAAATTGTCCATCTTACTACCGACCAATGTGGTTTCGTCTTCAGTTGTGGTATCATCAGTGCAGTTCACACCACTTGACTCTTGGTCGAGAAACAACCGTGAGAAAGCCACTTTATGTCAGATTCCTCGATTTGGAGAAAGCATTTGATCATATCCCTCATGAAGTTACTTGGTACGCATTATAACAACTTGCTGTTCCTGAAAAACTGGTCAACTGAGTTTGGATTTTGTACAGTGATCCAAAAAGCACGGTGCATGCTGCTGCTGGCACATTGTCGGAGTTCCCTATCACTGTGCATCAGGGTTCATTGTTGTAATGGATGCAGTGACTAGAGAGCTGCAGAAACTGGTACCTTTGGACTTTGCTGTACGCTGTTGAAGTGATGCTTCCTTCTGAGGACAAGGAAGAACTTGAACACCAAGTGCAAGCATGGTGTGACCGGTTGGAGCAATTTGGTCTTTGCCTCAATGTCAAAAAGACTGAGTTTTAATTTTCATTTTTTTAAGCCAAAAGCACCTAATATTCATGCAGGGTGCCCCTCCAAAGATGTACACGATAAAATAGTTTATCATTGGGGGCGAGGGAGGAAACTGCAAATTTTAATAGGCTCAAATCTTCAGGCTATGTGTATAAGATGTACATGAACTATAAATGAATTTCCTGTAGGTCCCATTTCCAAGATCCCTCATTATGAACATGTCTGCAAATACAGGTATTTCCAAATCCAGGGGGAAAATCCCCGATATTCAAAACCTTATTTGGTCCCAAGCATTTTGAACAACGGATGTTCAATCTATTATTAGTGGGCACAACCTTAGAGTCACGGGTTCAAAACAGGGCACCTTCCTTATGAGTTAAAAACCCACATGGGCTTGGGCTGTAGGATGCTTCTTGAGGCCGAGAAGGGGAATTCACTTACTTACTTAGGCGATCCCTCATTGTCCGAGTATGATGGCCCTCCAAGTGTGTGTCTTGGCGGTGGATACGTAGGTGGCTGTAGAACCCTATTCTTGATCCGCGTATTATTCCACAGTGAGGACATTGGTTTCCAGGGTGGTAGGTGGTTCCGGTTAGGGTTGGCTTGATGTGCCTTCCTGTTGCCACATTTCTCTCTTTTGCCCTCCATTTGTGCCTCTTTGAATTCCACAGCACTGCTGGTCACAGGTGACCTCCAGTTAGAGTGCTCAAGGGCCAGGCTTCCCAGTTCTTGGTGTCTATACCAGTTTTTAAGGTTGGGTTTAAGTCCACCTTTAAAGTTCTTAAAGATGGACTTAAAGTGCTTTGGGAGACAGTGATCGGGCATTCAGACAATGTGGCCAGTCCAGCAAAGTTGATGGAGGATCATCACTTCAATCCTCGTGGTCTTTGCTTCTTCCAGCACACTGAAGGAGCCTGAGGCTGTTAGGATTGGAGGGAGGAGAAGTCCAAAACAACTGGAGGACCCAAGTTGGCCCTTGCCTGGTCTGTACTGTAGACTGTAAACATAGTGGCCCTTCCCTAAAGTATTGAATGGTGGGAGTAGAAGTCCAAAAAACCTAGAGGGAGGGCCCAAGTTGGCCCATACCTAGTCTATACTGACTGTGAACACAGTGGCCCTTCCCTATAGTATTGAATGGTGGGAGTTGAAGTTCAAAACACCTGGAGGGAGGGCCCAAATTGGCCCATGCTTGGTCTATACTGTAGAGCAGTGGTTCTCAACCTGGGGTCCCCAGATGTTTTGGCCTACGACTCCCAGAAATCCCAGCCAGTTTACCAGCTGTAAGGGTTTCTGGGAGTTGTAGGCCAAAATCATCTGGGGACCCCAGGTTGGGAACCACTGATGTAGAGTGTAAACACTGTAGCCTTTCCCTGAAGTATTGAATGGTGTGAGTTGAAGTCCAAAACACCTGGAGAGAGAGCCCAAGTTGGCCCATGCCTGGTCTATACTGTAGACTGTAAACACAGTGGTGTTGGAGCTCAGCCTGTGATTGTGTCCCAGGATCAGGGTGCTCTGGATGTGGGGAGTGCTGTCAATGAGTTTCACGATGGCAGTGGTTTGGTCAGTGATCTTGATGCAGACAATGACCAGAAGATCCCTGTTCAAAGTGTAGTTTCCCATGAGAATGTCCCTGAGGGGTGTGGGGATGATGGTGTGTTTTCTGAATTGTTACCAGAGAGTTCCCATGATAAGGAACATGAAAACAGCTTGGCATCTGCCCTAGCTGCAGAAATTAGTGAGCAAATAGATAATGAGCAAATATATAGACGCGAGATTAGTCAAAACAGGAGAGCCAAACAGTGACTTCGCCGGTCTGCCAGGCTTTGAGAATAAAAGATAAGAAGTTCTCAGCTAAAATGAAACCAATTTCTGAATGCTAGAGACTTAGCTAATGAGGAGATAAAAGTCCCAAGTTCAGAATATGCAGACAGATGAAGTATCATTTGGAATCAAGTCAAGATCTCGTTCTTGTTCATGGAAGTTTTGCTGGGGATTTTCATGTTTTAAGTGCTTTTGTTTCATGGTTTTGGATTCTTGGATTTTATGCTCTATATTCATGCCTTCGGTTCATATTTCCTGATTCTTTGCATTTTATTTGGAAAGTTTTGTCATGGTTTTTATGGACTATTACTTTGGATTACTTTGTTCCTGCTTATCTTCCTACCTAACTGGATTTACCTATTTCTTTAAAGTGTTTTTTTTACCTTTTTTGTTGTTCGTTCATTCAGTCGTTTCTGACTCTTTGTGACTTCATGGACCAGCCCACGCCAGAGCTCCTTGTCTGTCGTCACCACCCCCAGCTCCTTCAAGGTCAATCCAGTCACCTGAAGGATACCATCCATCCATCTTGCCCTTGGTTGGCCCCTCTTCCTTTTTCCTTCAATTTTCCCCAGCACCATTTTCCCTAAAGACATCAGGCAGGCCCCGTCGCTAGCAATCTTTAGGAGGAGCTTGAAGACATGGTTGTTCCAGTGTGCCTTTCCAGAATAAGGAAACCCCTAGCATTATGTTCCAATGCACTTTAGCAGAGATCTAGGATACCTATATGCCCACCCCCCTCCAAACACCCCACCTGGTCACGCCCAGCACTTTTTAACTTTTCATTACATTTGGCCCTGACATTGTTTTTAATTGTGTCATTGTGTGTTGTTAATATTATTGCTTTGTCTTTTTGAGTTATTGATGTTGTTATTGTTTTACTATTGTATTTGGGCTCGGCCTCTTGTAAGCCGCACCGAGTCCTCTGGGAGATGGTAGCGAGGTACAAATAAAGGTTTATTATTATTATTAATATTATTATTACTGTCATTGTGGGGTGTGTGTGTTGAATGTTTTCATTAAGGAGGCCAGACTTGGTGGGGGGGGGGGGGCTGTTTTTTTCAGGGGGGGTTTCGGAGGTGGCTGAGTCTGAGTAAAAGAGGGTCAACCCTAGCAAACCTTTTGTATCATTACCCCAATACCCCCATGCATATGGGATATATTGAGTATGGTGATCAGATCATGATATGAATAAACATAAGTTTAAAGCTGTAGCCAGAAAAAAAATTCGGGAGGGGTTGAAATTTTCGGGGGGGGGGGGGTTGAAAATTTCGCGGGGGGGGGGGTGAAAATTCGGGGAGGGTTGAAATTTGGGGGCGTGGGGTTGAAACCTGCCTCCTAGCTCACGCTGAAGCAAAGAGCACAGAAGGGGGCAGAGCAACCTTCAATAGCCTGCAGCTCCGCCCCTGTCAACCACCTCCACCAAGTCTGGCCTCCTTAATGAGAGCATTCAACACCCCCCAACTTGGTTGCTTCACTACATCGGCTATTGCTGCAAGTAATGACAGTGTGAATAAATTGTCAATATTTGCTTGAGATAGTGCTTGCAGTTCTGGAGGGACTCTTAATTTTTTGCATCTCATAGACTTAGCATGGGGATTTGGTTAACCAGTTAAAATTAATGAGTAAACCAGGTTTTTTAAAAAAAATCTGAAACATTTCGGGGGGGGGGTTGAACCCCTAAAACCACCCCCTCGCTACAGGCCTGGTGATGTGTCCTTGAATAGACATCAAGTTGTAAGTAGATTCCATGGCTGAAGCCCCCCAGCCCCCCCCCCCCGGCTACATGCCTGCCTCTGCCAATGAGCAGTCAGGCTTTATTTCTTGAAGTATGGACTGGTTGGATCTTCTCGCTGTCCAAGGCACTCTCAGAACTATTTCTTTAAAGTGTTTTTTACCTTATAGCTTTTAAATTATCTTCAATAAATTGATTGCTGAAAGTCAGAGGGCTTTTCCTGTCTTGGAGTGCAACAAGTGGCCCTTCCCTGAAGTACTGAATGGTGGGAGTTGAAGTCCAAAACACCTGGAGGGAAGGCCCAAGTTTGCCCCATGCCTGGTCTGGACCCTCCAACTCCGCATTGGCGGGCCGCTCTTCCCGTTCCACCAATCGCCTTTCGCCTTTCCCCCTCCCCTCTCTCCCCTCTCATTGGATAAAATCGGGTGTCACTCACTTCGCCCCTCCCACGCTTTCCGTCCTCGCGCCGCCTCCCGCGGGCCCGCCTCCTGCGGGGCGTATCCGTCCCTCTGATTGGCTGCTTCCGCGCCGTCAGTCAGGGCTCCTCCAACGGTCGTCCCAACCGCCGTTCCTCCCCTTTGGCCCCGCCCTCTCGCCGCGAGCCAGAACTCTCCCGAGTTGGTTCTGTGAGGAAGGAAGAAGGTTCGCGCCTTCTTCGGCTGCTTCTTACGTCAAAGAGGAAGCCAAGGAGGAGAAGGGGAAAAAGAGCCGGAGCGGCGCGATGTCGGCGGGAGAAGCGCCCGGCGGGGGCTGAGGCGGAGGCCTTTCGCCTGGGAAAGGCTCATGACAGCAAGGAGGAGGAGAGAGGAAGAAGGACTTCGCCTCAGGGAGGCCGCTTTCCCCCCGAAGAGTTGATTCTGAAACTTCCCTCGGCCTTCATTCCCCCCCCGCCTCTGGGTTAAGACTTGGCGTGGAAGCCTCTTTCCTCTTTTGTGTTGTGGAAACCTCCAATCAGGCATTTCTTCCCCCTCTTTCCTTGGATGAAGATTGTGTTTCTCTTCCTGTTTACTTCCCCCCTTTTTTGGGGGGCGTCGGATCAAAGCTTTTTAAAAATTAATTAATTAATCAAAGTGTTTAATTAATTAAGCTCCCCCTTCCTTCCTTCCTTGTGCCAGAAATCGTGGATTAAGAGTATTTTGGAAGATTCCCCCCCCCCCCACCCCTAATTTTTTCCCTCCTTGGAGTTTGTTTACCTTTTTTTCCTTGCCCCTTTTTTATGGGGTGTCGGATCAAGAATCTCTCTCGTTTTTGGAAGCCTTTCCTCCCTCTTTTTTTGGGGTGTTTGGGGTCCGATTCAGAGCTTCCCTCCTTCCTTAAAGGGGTCGAAATTCCTTGGATTTACAGCAGCCTCCCCTTCAATTTGGAAGATTAAGAGACATTGTATTCTCTCCCTAAATTCGGAATAGTTTCTCCTGCTCCCCCACCCCTCGGATTAAGTGTCTTTTTTCCTCGTGGATTTATTATTATTGTTATTCTTGGTCTTCTGGCTCCTCCTGGGTTTTTGTTCCTTTCCTCCTCTTCCCCCCTCTGGTGAGATTCTATGCTCCAAGGGAAGAAGGGAAGCGGTGGCGGTGGGGATCAGCAGCACCAGCAGCAGCAACCCCACGGCGGCGGCGCCCCCTTCGCCTCCCCGGCCATGTCCACGGCCACGGCGGCTGCGGCGGCGATCTCGGCCGCGGAGAAAGTGGACGGCTTCACCCGACGGTCGGTGCGCAAGGTCCAGAAGCAGAAGCGCTCGCAGGGCTCGTCCCAGTTCCGGACCCAGATCAGCCCCGTCGAGCTCCTCCCGCTGCCCCAGCTCAAAGGTGAGAGGGAGGAGGAGGAACAACGTGGAAGAGCCCCAGCAGGCCTGAGGGCAGGCATAGGCAAACTTTATTATTTACTAGCTTGGGGATCTGGCGCTGCCTGGGTTATGTGAGAAAAGCATTGTTTGTCTGTGCTCCAAGCTTAGTCTAGAGCAGTGTTTCTCAACCTTCCTAAAGCCGCGACCCCTTAGTACAGGTCCGCATGTTGTGGTGACCCCCAACCATAATGTTATTTTCGTTGCTACTTCACAACTGTAATTTTGCTACTGTTATGAATCGTAATCTAAATATCTGATATGCAGGATGTATTTTCATTGACTAGACCAAATTTGGCACAAATACCCGATAGCCCCAAATTTGAATACTGGTGGGGTTAGGGGAGGAGACTGATTTTGTCATTTGGGAGTTGTAATTGCTGGGATTTATAGTTCACCTAAAATCAAAGAGCCTTTTGAACTCCACTAATGATGGAATTGAATCAAATTGGGTACACAGAATTCCCATGACTAAGAGAAAATACTGGGAAGGTCTGGTGGACATTGACCTTGAGTTTTTTGGAGTTGTAGTTCACCTACACCCAGAGAACACTGTAGACTCAAGCAATGATGGATCTGGATCAAACTTGGCACAAATACTCAATATGCCCAAATGTGAACACTGGTAGAGTTTGGAGAAAATAGACCTTGCCATTTGGGAGTTGTAGTTGTTGGAATTATTTATAGTTCACCCACAATGAAGTAGCTTTCTGAACCCCACTGATAGAATTGGACCAAACTTTCCACACAGAATCCCCATGATCAACAGAAAATACTATGTTTTCTCATGGTCTTTGGCGACCCCTCTAACACCTCCTCGCAACCCACACAGGGGTCCCGACCCCCAGGTTGAGAAACACTGGTCTAGAGCAGTGTTTCTCAACCTTCCTAATGCCGTGACCCCTTAATCCAGTTTCTCATGTTGTAGTGACCCCAACCATAAAATTATTTATTACTAGCTGTCCCTGGCCACGCGTTGCTGTGGCCCAGTCTGTTGATCTGAAAAATAAAGTAATGAGAAAGTATTGGTTTCTAATATATGTCATTCTTTTATGTTTGTGGGTAAACTGTATTTCTTGCTGTTTTTTTGTCAGTGTTGATGTGGAGAGTGTCTGGTTTGCCCACCCTGGAACATGCAAGATATCATTGTCCTTCTTTAAGGGTCCCTTTCAAATCTATGACACTATCTCTCTCTCTCTCTCTGTGAATCATATCTATCTCTATCTCTCTCTCTCTCTATGGCAGGATGGCTCTTTGTCAGGATGACTGAGTACATTTTCTTGCCCTGATGAAGGGAGTTGGATTGGATGGCCTTAAGTATTTTCTGTCGTTCATGGGGGTTCAGTGTGGGAAGTTTGCCCTGATTCTGTCGTTCATGGGGTTCAGAATGCTCTTTGATTGTAGGTGAACTGTGAATCCCAGTGATTACAACTCCCAAATGTCAAGGTCTATTTTCCCCAAACTCCATCTGTGTTCATATTTGGGCATATGGAATATTCGTGCCAAGTTTGGTCCAGATCCATCATTGTTTGAGTCCACAGTGCTCTCTGGATGTTAGGTGAACTACAACTCCCAAACTCAAGGTCAATGCTCACCAAACCCTTCCAGTATTTTCTGTTGGTCGTTAAAGTTCTGTGTGTCAAGTTTATTCAATTCCATCATTGAAGGAGTTCAGAATGCTCTTTGATTGTAGGTGAACTATAAATCCCAGCAACTACAACTCCCAAATGACAAAATCATAATTTTTTGAGTGATGGCCACTCCTTGTGTTGTGAGGTGTTTTGTTGCCAAATTTGGTGTGATTTCGTTCATTGGTTCTTTTGTTTTTAAGGAACTCATTATGCACAGAGCATTTATATATATATAGATTTATTTATTTAAAACACTTATATTCTGCCCTTCTCACCCCGAAGGGGACTAAGAGCAGAGCACAACATATACATGGCAAACATTCAATGCCTGGATACAATATATAAACATTAAAAAAACATTTATCTAAATATTAAAATACACCATTTAAAATAACACAATTAAAAACCGTCCTAGCCATCTGCATCAAATCCAATTGGCCCTGTCATCTTTCCCATTGTCGCTTCATTGCCCTGTCCCGAAAGCTTGGTCCCACAGCCAAGTTTTTAACATCCTTCTAAAGGACAGGAGGGAGGGGGCCAACCTGATCTCACAAGGAAGGGAGTTCCATATTATTATTTTCGTTGCTACTTCATAACTGTAGTTTTGCTACTGTTATGAATCGTCATGTAAATATCCGATATACAGGATGCATTTTCATTACCTGGACTAAATTTGGCACAAACACCGAATACACCCACATTTGAATACTGGTGGTGTGGGGAGAGATTGATTTTGCCTTTTGGGAGTTGTAGTTACTGGGATTTATAGTTTGCTTACAATCAAAGATGGAATTAGACCAAACTTGGCACTAATCCACTAACGATGGAATTAGACCAAACTTGGCACACACAACTCCCATGACCAACAGAAAATACTGGAAAACTTTGGTGGGCATCAACCTCGAGTTTTGGAGTTGTAGCTCACCTACATCAGTGGTTCTCAACCTGGCGTCCCCAGATGTTTTTGGTCTTCAACTCCCAGAAATCCTAACAGCTGGTAAACTGGCTGGGATTTCTGGGAGTTGTATGCCAAAAACATCTGGGGACCCCAGGTTGAGAACCACTGACCTACATCCAGAGAGCTCTGTTGACTCAAGCAATTATAAATCTGGACTAAACTTGGCATGAACACTCAATATGCCCAAATGTGAACACTGGTGGAGTTTGGGGAAAATAAACCATGACATTTGGGAGTTGTATTTGCTGGGATTTATAGTTCACCTACTATCAAAGAGCATTCTGACCCCCACCAATGACAGAATTGGACCAAACTTCTCACCCAGAACCCCAGGACCAACAGAAAATACTGTGTTTTCTGATGATCTTTGGCGACCCCCCTGACACCCTCTCGCGACCCCCCCCAGGGGTCCCGACCCCCAGGTTGAGAAACGCTGGTCTAGATCCAATGTTGGTGCAGGTGAAGTATAGCTCCATAGTCCAGTCTCCTCCAAACCGCATCAAAATGTAGAATGAGTCATGGGGGCACTGGGTGCCAAGTTAGGTCTTGATCAGTCATAGGTGTGGGTTGCAATGGATTTAGGAAGTGAATGAAGCTTCTTGCAAGTCCCATCATCCCTGGTCCATTGGCCCACAAATCTCACCCAGCAGTAGGGTGGGTCATGAGGACTCTGTGCCAAGTTTGCTCTTGATCAGTCATTGATGTGGGTTGTAGTGGTCTCAGGAAGTGAGTGAAAGTACTCCAAGTCCCATCATCTATGATCCACCCTCCAAACTGCACCAGGATGTAGAGTGAGTCATGAGTGCTCTGTGTGCCAAGGTGGTCCTGGTCTGTGATTTGTAGGGGCCACAGTGTTCTGTGGGAACTGAATTGGGTGAAGATGCTACAAATCCCATCGTCCATGGTTCATCCTACCCCAAACCACACCACGATGTAAAGTGGGTCATGTGGGCTCTGTGCCAAGTGTGTTCTTGATCCACCATTGGTGTGGGTCCCAGGGCTCTAAGGAAGTTAGTGAAGGTACTGCAAGTCCCATCATCCATGGTCCATCCTCCCCCAAACCGTGACAGGAGTTAAAGTGGGTCATGGGGGGGGGGTCTATGTGCCAAGTTTGGTCCTGTTCTGTCATTGTTGGGGGCCGCAGTGGTCTGTGGGAACCGAAGCATTTGAAAGTACTGCAAATCCCATCATCTGCTGTCCATCCTCTGCCAAACCTCACCAGGATATAAAGGGGGCCATGGTGGTTATGTGTGCCAAGTTTGGTCCAGATCCGTGACCCGTGCTGATCGCAGTGGTCTGTGAAAGTGGCAACCAATCAGAAAGCAGCCACATACATACCCACATACAAACATTCACTTTTATTATATATTAGCTTGGTGCCCGGGTTATTTCAGAAAGGCATTGTGTGCACAGGTTGGTCTTTCTCAGTTATTTCTGTGGCTCGCAGTGGTCTCAGGAAGTTGTAAAGGTACTGCGAGTCACATCATCCATGGTCCATCCTCCTCCAAATAGCACCAGGATGTAGAGTGGGTCGTGAGGGCTGTGAGTGCCAAGCTTTGTCTTGATCAGTAATTGGATGAGGTTCGCAGCAGTCTCGGGAAGTGATTGAACGTACTTCAAGTCCCATTATCCATGGTCCATCCTCCTCAAAATTGCATCAGGATGTAGAATAGGTCATGGGGTCTCTGCGTTTCAAGTTTGTTCTTGATCAGTCATTGGATGAGGGTCAGAGCAGTCTCGGGAAGTGAGTGGAGGTACTTCAAGTCCCTTCATCCATGGTCCGCCCTCCTCCAAACTGCAGTACAATGTAGAGTAGGTCATGGGGGTTTTGTGTGCCAAGTGTGGTCTTTATCAGTCTTTGTTAGGACCTGCAGTGGTCTGTGGGAACAAAAGGATTTGAAAGTACTACAAATCCCATCATCTGTGGTCCGTCCGTCTCCAAACCAGGATGTAGAGTGTGTCATGGGGGTTATGTGTGCCAAGTTTGGACTTGATCAGTCATTGGATGAGGGTTGCAGCGGTCTCGGGAAGTGAATGAAGGTACTTCAAGTCCTATCATCCATGGTTTGCCCTCCTCCAAACTGCAGTATGATGTAGCGTGGGTCATGGGGGCTCTGTGTGCCAAGTTTGGTCTTTATCGGTCTTTGTTGGGGGCCACAGCGGTCTGTGGGAACCAAAGGGTTTGAAAGTACTACAAATCCCATAATCCGTGGGCTACCTCCCCCATACTGCGCCAGGACATAAAGGGGGTCATGGGGGTTATGTGTGCCAAGATTGGTCCAGATTCATCATTTGTGGGGGTTACAGTGGCCTGTGAAACTTGCAGCCAATCAGAAAGCTGCTACATACATACTCCGCTGCAAACATACAAACATT